TCCTTTCAAAAACTGCTAGGAAACAGGAGATTTGCACAATATCCAAGTATCACCACCTCACAGAATGTTTATTAACTGCAAAGAGGAAACGGAGATATCTGTCACACAGCACCTTAGCCAAGTAATCAAACATGACATCCCTGAGGTTAGATAAACTCTGTTATACACCTGATGACATAATGCACTAAGAAGGTCACAACAACTCTCAGGCTGGAGCAGTTAACCTGAATTTAATTCTGATACATGCTACAAAACAACAGAACTGGACTCTATGTGTTAAAAGGTGGGGCAGGGGGTACAGGCAACAAACTGAAGATTAAATGAAACTGTAGCTACTGAGAGTTAAATGTAATACATGTTCCTACATTGGATCCTGAATTAAGAGAAGTAAAAAAATCTCTAAACCTCATTTTTGGGATAATTGGTGAAGTTTGATTTTTTTGCTATGAAAGGTACCAGAATATGCCACCCCAAAATAAGCCTTTTTAGCATATGGATTATTTTGAACTATTGGCAGATTTAGCAAAAGCTCTAAAAATAGGGCAATTGTTTTCCTTTTGTGAAGAAAATGGAAATTTCCATTTGTAAGGATGTCTCCCACTTCCAGTACCAGGAAGAGGAAGTCTCTCCCAATTCTTATCCAAGGAGAAGGCACTGACTTAAATTTGCAAAACAAATCCTGCTAAACAACCCTCGTTTTCCATACTTGTCTTGGTCAGGTTCTTGTAACTTGCCTCCCTGACTAAAAGCCCAAAGCCTCTTTCCCTCTGTTCAGCCTGAGATACAAGCCCAAATTCTAACCACCTCTCTGGATTACTGATTGCTGGGCACTCCAGGTGTACATGTGTGACGTACATGTTAACATACTTCCGTTTGCTTTTCTCTTGTTGGTCTGTCTTTGGCCAGTCTAATCCACAGGGCTCCAGCTGGAGAACCTAAGATAGGTAGAAGAAAAGCCTTAAAGACCTTTTTTTCTTCCCTATAACTGTTATTTCAATATTTTGATAGTAAGTGAATATTAAATAATATATCAATGTTAAATTTCTTGAATATGATCATGGTGTTGTGTTTATGTAGGGAAAGTTCCTTTTTCTTAGGAGTTAGGGATTAAGTAGTTAAGAATACAATGTAATAATGTCTGCAAGTTACTTTGAAATGATCAGAGAGAGGAAAAGAGCAAGAGAAAGCAAGCAAAAGTGGCCAAATGTAGGTGTTTGTGAATCAAGGGAAGGTATACATGGGAGTTCTTTGTACTAGTCTTTTAACTTTTCTGTAGGCTTGAAAGTTTTCAAAATAAACAGTTTGGGGAAAATTGCATTAAGATGCTCCTTGCCACATGTTTCATTTATTCATGTTTTTGCTTACTATTGTCTTTATTATTCAGTCTTGCAAGATTCTATATTCCAACTCATAACTTCTTTTCTAGTACCTTAAATATTATTTGAGACCCCTTAAATAGATAATAAAATCAGATCTTCCTGGCCTGAAGATTATTCTGTTGGTGAAATAAATACACTGGATAAAGAATTGTTGTACGTTCCATGTTTAGGTTTCCTAAGGAAATTGTTTAACATTAAAGAGCGTGGACAACCAGTGGTTCTGTAACATCTTCCTATGTTGACAGATAGTAACATAGGGGTGAGAATTTAATAATATGGGTATCTGTTGAACCTCTGTGTTGTATACTTGAAACCAATATAATATTGTGTGTCAACTATACTTCAATTTAAAAAAAGATTTAAAAAATAAATAGATAGGAAGTTAAAAAAAAAAGCAAATATACCATCACAGTCATCATTTGGTGTGGTTGCACAGTGAGTGGAAAGATGAAATTGGGGTCATGGAATTGTAAGGCTAGAAGGGATCTTAAGGGTTATGAATACATCGTGTTTTTCCTCTTAGATGCCTCAATATTTGCAGCAACCAGTGAGTGGGGTGCAGGCAGCTACACTGCCACCATTCGGATACACTGCAACCTGAGGGTACAACAGTAGTTGCACCCCACGGGACACCCTTTGTTCTCTGGGCATTGAGAATTCCTTGATGACTATTCTCCTCTTCTGTCCCAACAGTGGGCAGTTCAGACATGAATTAAACGTGGCTGTTCACCCAGGATTCAAGTCCAGTTTCCCAGAGCAGTGAGGAGCAGAAAGAATCGTCACCTGAATTCACTCCTTCCAGCACCTCCGGCTGCTGGGATCACGTCCGGAAATAAACGGTCTCCATATAAACACATTTCTCAGGCTCTCTGCTTGAAGATGCTCACATTCTACAGGACCTTACCTGGTTCCTGTGAGTCCTGAGCCCTCAGTTTCCGTGGAGAGAATCCACTCACTTACTGACATCCTGCCCCGCCATGATGAGAAGCAGACCCAGCTTCTCTGCTGTGGTAATGAAAACTCCTTCAGATGCTCCCCACGTTGTAGATATTTGTGGATATCTGTTGTCTGTGGCTGGCTCATCTACCATTCCCTTGGACTTTCCTAGTTGCCCTCTTCTGATTCCTGTATTGTTATTTCAGCTGGGGTGCACTGAAATATACAATAACCAAAATTTTAAAATGTGGAGATGGGCTCAATAGCAGGATAGCGATGACAGCGAAGATTCAGTGAACTTGAGGATAAAACAAAAATTACCAATCTGAGCAAGAGAAAGGAAACAGACATTAAAAAAAAAAAACACAGCTTCAGGTGTCAGTGGGACTATAACAGAAGATCAAATGTTTGCCCTTTTTTGCATCTTTTGAAATATTCATATGGTATTTCTCCCCTTTGTGGTGGTGGTGTTGATACGGTGAATGACATTGATTTATCTTTTGAATGCAAGGCCTATCTTGCCTATCTTGATGACAATTATACAATTATCCTTGTTATTGTTGGATTTTATTTGCTAGTATTTTCTCAAGGATTTTTGTACTTGTTTTCATGGAGATACACTGAAGGAAAGACATGTAGTGAAAATTATATAAGTAACAATAATCTGGATTTGTTATAGTAGCAAAGACCAAGAAGCACCTGGTTTACGAGATGCAGAATTCCCCTGTGTGTCTCATCCAGAGTGAGGGTCGGAAGCTGAGGAGAGCTCCGTTTCGCTAGTGGCTTTGTCATTTACAGAAGTGCTTATTTGTTTGACTAGATCAGTAGGAGAATTTAAAAATAAGTTATGAAACAAAATAACATAAAGATCACTGTATCTTTTATAACAATGCATATAAATAGATTAAGCTTCCTATGAAGAAAAGGTTCTCAGGTAGAATGACAAGACAGTATCCAACTCCAGATTTATGGGATTTCTAGGGACAGATAAGTCACGGGAAGAGTAGAGGTAAAATGATATAGGGAATGTCTTTCTTTTCCTAGTTTCCTGACAGTAGGTATATACATGTTGAATTTTATTAAATGCCTTCTAGCATATACTACTCTTTGAAAAGACTTACTGGACATATTAATATTGTTAAAAGATAAACTGAGGCATAATGAAAATTTTAGGAGTTTGAGCAAAAATCAATTCAAATTGGGCAGCACCAAAGCAGGAGTGGTTAGGAGTTCCCCACTGATGGGCGCCAGGGGAAAGACATATACAGAGAAAGTATGGTAGCAAAGAAAGGAAATTATTGATTTGCTATACAGCTGACCCTTGAACAACACAGGTTTGAACTACATGGGTCCACTTACAAGCGGATTTTTTTTCAGTTAATACATCGGAAAACTTTTTGAAGATTTGTGACAACTTGAAAAAACATTTTCTCTTCTATAGCTTACTTTGTTGTAAGAATACAGTACATAATATATGTAACATTAAAATATGTATTAGTCAACTGTTTATATTATCAGTAAAGCTTCTGGTCAACAGTAGGCTATTAGTAGTTAAGTTTTTGGGGAGTTAAAAGTTACACACAAATTTTCTACTGGGGTGGGGGCAGGGAGGTGGCACTCCTAACCCCTTGTGCTGTCCAAGGCTCTACTGTCCAAAGATCGGCTGCCTTTAGGTTTCAATTCCTTAACCTATGAAAATAAGATTCTCAGATGGAATGAGAAGACAGCATCCAACTCCATAAGTGTAGGCTTAGCTTTGGTTTTGCTTACATCGGTTGCCATGGCATTAGAGCCACCTCGGTCAAACAGCCTCATTGTTAAATTAATTTAACAGTATAACATTATAGTAACAAATTTTCTAATATTGAATGATCCTATAGTTTCTGATATTAACAGTAAAAGAAAAAACAGCCACATATTTATCAGTCAATCCTAAATGAAAAAGAAATACATAAAGGAGAATGTTACTAATATACAAAGTAGAGATCAAGGCAAAAAGAATGAAGTGAGGTACGAATGGATATTTACTTTATTTTATATTTTGCTTATTTCTTTATCTTTTAAAAATGGAAACAACATGAAACCTCCTACACTGTTGGTGGGAATGTAAGTTGGTGAAATCGCTGTGGAAAGCAGTATGGAAGTTCCACAAAATACTAAAAATAGAAATACCATTCGATCTAGTAGTTTCACTTCTAGGAATTTACCCAAAGAAAACAAAATCCCTGATTCAAAAAGATATATGCACCCCTATATTTATCACTGCACTATTTGCACTAGCTAAGTTATGGAAGCAACCTAAGTATCCATCAGCAGAGGAATGGATAAAGAAGGGGTGGTACATATGTACAATGAAATATCATTCAGCCATAAAGAAAGAAGAAATTCTGCCATTTGCAATGACATGGATGGACTTGAGGATTTTATGATCAGTGAAATAAGCCAGGCAAAGAAAGGCAAATACCATATGATTTCACTTATTTGTGGAATATAAATACAAAGCAAAACAGAAGGAACAAAACAGCAGTAGACTCACAGACACTGAGAAGTGACTAGCGCTTACCAAGGGGGAGGGTTTGGGGTGGGTGCAGGGGGAGGGGGAGGGGGATAAAGAGGCACAATAATTCACAGTCACAATATAAGTTAGTCATGGGACAGTAGTGCAGCACAGAGAATATAGTCAATGATTCTGCAACATCTTTTTACGTTGAGATATAGTAACTGCACTAGAAGGGACGAAGATTTAATAGTATGGGTAACTCTTAGGTACCACTGTGTTGTACATTTGAAACCAATATAAGATTGTATATCAACAATACTTCAATTAAAAAAAATGGAAACAACACATAGGCAGGGGTGGGAAGCATAGATATTACAGAACATTATAAAAGTAAAAGTAAAAGTTTAATTTTGCCCTCCCTCCAGCCATGAACCCAGTTTACTGAAAGAAAACTACTGTCAAATACATTAGTAAAGGTTACACTTCATGTTCCTGTTAACCATGAATAAGACTGTGTCAAAATATAACACTCACAAAAGAAATTAACAGATATAATATTGCTAGGTATAGGTATTTTAAAACACCTTTCTTGGTATTTGACAAATCACACAGGATATAAACAAGGTAGGTTATGGAGGCCACAATGACAAAATTAATCAAGTTACCTTAATAGCTACACATCAGATGTTAACTTTTCACACAGATAATATTTTTTTTCCCAATGTCAATGGAATTTATTATTAGGCAACTAAAAAGTGGAAATTATATAGAGCAGATTATCTGAGCACAATACTTAAACACAAAATACTAGTAACAATATTTTAAATTCTAAGTAACCAACATGCTGTAGTTGGAATTTTAACTAGAAACATATTTAAACATGAAGACACATTGTATAGAGGAAAAACTATCCAGATTCTAGAATCAACTTCCTTCAATTGCTTTTTTCCCCCTCATAGACAGACCTATACACATACACACAACTTATGAATTGAACTTCAGTTTCACAATGATACAAGAAAAACATTTATTTCATCCCATGAGGAAAGGCATATAAATTTTGTTATTAATCTTAATGAAATTATAAAGGTAAAAGTTGAATGAGCATGTCGCTCATGGAAGAATGGATTCATTTTTTTTTGTTGATCTTAACCATCGTGGCCATTGAAATTAATAAAATAAAAATAAAAATAAAAGAAGTGAACAGCAAGCACTCTGCTTATGCATTATACTAGATGATTTATCAGCTGTAAAGAAATACAAGAGGGAAGAATCAATGCACAGAAAATCCTGCCAAGATGTGACTGAATAAAGTCATACTTCCCAGCATGAGAATATTACTGACATCATATTCTGGAATAAGGATGTCACAGAGTGTTTGATTTTGATTAGACACTTCTTGTCTCTTGCTGATCACAGCAATTGTAGCTTCATCTCCTGTTTCGAGTGGTACATGGGTGTTTGATTGGTTGACAGCCAATCAGATGAGGATTTATTTCTCCATGACAAACCTATTGCTTGAAGTCAGCGCTCACTAGTTTATACTGTTGTGTGTCTCTTACTCTTCATCTGCACCATAGAAACATCCTGCTCTGCAGACATCATATTAATATGATTGTTTGGTCTCTGTGCATTTCTCAGCATTTTCACCTGCCAGGGTTAATTCCAGAGTCTCTTGGGTTATAACTTTCACAAAGGAAACACCGGAAGAAATTAGCCCTACCATGAGTCACAGATGAATTGGGAGGAATGGTGGGACCCAACTGGGTTTCCCTCCTACCTTGGTTCTTCTATGTCCATGCTTTTTCCAGTTTTCCCCATGACTAGCCTAGCTAACAATGGTTCCATTTTATAGGATAGGTTTTATTTTAGTTACTGTGTTTCAAGAACTGGTTAGAGTTATCTAGCAAGACTTCTAATTCACTAATTTGTTTTGTTGCGATGCTTTCTACTTTCTCTAGAATATTGTTGTCATTCTTTAACAAAATTTAGTTATTTGCTGATTGAATAATTATTTTCCTCAATAAGAAATGAAGGCATTGGAGCTCCTGAATTTTCTCTTAGAATAACCTTAACTTTGTTTCGTGTGCTCTGATCTGTTATTATTATTTTATTTTTTTCTACTAGTCACAGAATTTCCAAGTTGTTGACGTTTGTTTTGCCTCTTCACTTTCATTGCTGATTTTCTCTTTTATTGCATTTTTATTACATTGCTGTCAGAGAAAAGTAGGTTATATTCTCTTCTTGGTGGGATATTATTGAGGTGTTTATGGTGGAATAATTACAGTAAATTGCAGTCATTATTTATTAGCATTTGCAAAGAAGATGTGTTCAGGGTATAGATTTCAAAATTTATCCAGGTTTATAAACTGGTATAAATTTTCTCTATTTGATATTTCTCATATTACAAAAGTAATGCTTCCTTGCTATATTAAGTATAACAGTACAATAAAGATGCAAAAATCAAAGCTAATCATCTCCCTTCCTGTCTCCAAACTCACTAAGTGCAAAGAAAGGATCCTTCCATTTTTTCATACATAATTTTTAACACATACAGATTTAACCTTTTAAAGTACATCACTTTATCCTCTTTTTTCTTAGTACTACTTAAGAAGTATACTAATTTTTCAGTTTTTACAATTTTGTTGTTTCTGCTCTAATTCTTGAATCTGTGCTTCATATAGTTTGATTTTTTTGGTGTATAAAGTTTCATGACATTTATGTATTGTGTATAAATATCTATAATGATTACTAAGTGAACCTCTGACCTGTTTACTTCTTTTTGCCTTAACTTCTTACTATTGCTTTTTTTAAATTGAACTGGCCTGCTATACTTTTGTTCATTCTTTTACTTATATTCTGAGATCTTTTGTCTTCAGTGTGACTCTTGTGCATGTGGATGGGTTTTATAATTTCACCTATCAGAATCTTTATATATATACATATAGAGAGAGAGAAATTGATAAAGTAAAAAAAGAAAAGGAAGACCCTACATTTTCAGTACCCAGAAGAAAGTGATATTTTCTTATAGTTCTTTTATTTTTTTATGCATTAAATATAACATTTTAACTAAGTTTTAAAAAGTAAGGAAATAGTTTACATGACAAAAAAAACTAAAAAAGAGTCTAAAATAAAAAACGTAAGTTGTCTTCTGAATTATTCCAACCCTTAGTCCCACTTGGCTGAAATAACTTCAAAAGTTGTGTTTTGTTTTTCTGGTGGTTGCAGTTAACACTTTAAATTATATTGCTGTGTCTTGATCCTTCTTTTAAAGATGAGGGCTTTACATACTCTACCATTCACATCCTCTTCCCTTTTCAGCTATCAATATTTGTAAATCATAGTGTACTGCTGACTGGAGCACCTTCACTCGGCCTTTGCATGTGGCTTATGCCTGTCATGGGTGGCCACTGGGTCCTGACAGGTAGCTAGCTGGGTTCCAGGAGCTACAAGAGGAAGGAAGTGGAAGCTCCCAGTCCTCTCAAAGGTGAAGCTTGGAGCAGGAACTGGCATGATGTGACTCTCTACCCGCAAGTGATGTATGTTGGATTTGTTGACTGTGAGCTTAGATGCTTCCTCAGGAAAAATATCTTACATTTGATACTTGGGCTGCGGTATTACCCCCCCCATTCTTTTCCCTGTAATCTCTTCTACTATCTTCCATCATAACTTCAAACTTTGCAGCCTAGGTCTTTCTTTGCTTCTTATCACTCGTGCCATTTAATAATCTTTTGGGGCTTCTTTTCCATTTTTTCAATGGAACCTGGGGGAGAAAGGAACATATCTGTTTAGTTTGCCATAATCAACCAGTTCCAAATCAATTGCTTTTTTTCATATTCTGGGATTTATTTTTAAATCTCAGTCTATTATTGCCAAATTATTATTATACTTTCATGTGTAAAATAATGAAAATATGTTTCTCTCAGAAGCCATCATAATCACAATATCAGAAACAATAGATACCATGATTATAATGATTTAATTCTGTTTAGAAGAACACAATATTTATTGCTAATCTATCTCTATCACAACTTCTCCACTAATAAGGTCTAAATTTGATTCTTCTTTCAGATAGCAGGGTTATTCTTTCAAGTGGATTTTTCAGGAAGATTATATTAATGCTAAAATTACAAAGTTCTTACTATTTAAGAATGTATTTCTCATGCCTTTACATTTGAAAGATATCCTGACTAGGTTAAGAATTCTGAGTCATAATCTTTGTTCTCAACATTGCTCCATTATCTTGTTCATCTAATATAGCTCTGGACAGTCATTTAAGGCCTGCTCAAGATATATTATTTTCCTTTAAAGGTGACAAGACTCTTCCGCCTTGATGCTTGTAAGACATTTTTCAACCTTGAAATTCTATTACTTCGTCAGGATACACCTTGATCTTGGTGGAACTCTTACCACATTTTTCTCAATGCCTTCAAGAACCTGAAGGTTTAGATCTTTTCTTTCAGGAAAACCTCATTTTATTACTTTTTTGAACAATCCTTTTTTTTTTGGTTTTCTTTTCTAGGGACACCTATTACGTGTATGTTGCATCATCCTTATTTCTTTTCATATCTATAACTCAGGTGTTAGCTAAGGTCTCTTGGCCCTTTGAAGACCTACATAACTGGTCTTCTCCAGCCAAATCTAAGAAGACCAAAAACTTCACAGTATCAACTAAGTCCTTGTCTTTATTTGTCTCAATATGCTCATAGATACAAACTTATGAGCAGACAAAACTACGTGGCTTTCTTAAAAAATTGATTTTCCCAAGAAATCAACTGACATCAATTTTTAGTTGAATTTACTTAAGATTTGAAAAGATATGAGGAAGAGTTACATCCCAGGGCCTTGGCCTGATACCGCCCTCACTCCGTCTCTACTCCTCTTCCCACTCCTGTTCCTCATCCTCTCCATCCGGGATGGTTGCCAAACTCTCCCCTTGTGTTTGTGTACAATAACTTCTTATTTTCTTTAAAACCTTTTTACCAGATTACCAAGCCTGGCATTGACTGCATGGTAGGGGTGGGGACATTAGAACTTATTTTCTACTTTTACAATCTGCTCTACCAAACAAAGGCATCAGTCACAGGTACTTTCAGGTGCTTAAATGATGTCATCAAGATTGTATTTCCTACCTGTCCTCTCAGGTTATGTTTGTCTCTCTCTTTTTTCTTTTTTCTTTTTTTGCATGTGACCTAATTCTCTTCTGATACAAAATATGCTCATTATATGTGGCAGGAAATATGTCTACTGATAGCCCCAGTCCAATGTATAACCTTATCATGCT